GGTTTTTTTTTTTTTTTGATAGTAGCCATCCTAACGGGTGTGAGGTGGTATCCCACTGGGGTTTGACTTGCATTTCCCTAACGACCAGTGATGCCGAATCATGATGATGTTTTCCTGTGAGTACGTTCCCTGTCTTGTTGCGTGAGCTCTGCCTCATCTATTCTTGCTCTCTGGGTTCTGCCCAGGGTCTGAGGAAGCCTTGATAGGTTCCTTAAGCTTCTGGGCGCCTCAGGAGCGCTTTGGGCCCTGACAGTACCCCTCCTCCTCCGTCATCCCAAGCACCCTTACCCCCCACTCACTGAGCTGGTTAGCTGAGGGTGTGACCAGTTCCTCTCTGTGCCCAGGAATTTTTGGGCAGCGCCTGGAGGACACGGTCCACCACGAGCGGAAGTATGGCCCCCGCCTGGCCCCGCTGCTGGTGGAGCAGTGCGTGGACTTCATCCGGGAGCGTGGGCTCACTGAGGAGGGGCTCTTCCGCATGCCGGGCCAGGCCAACCTGGTGAGGGACCTCCAGGATTCCTTCGACTGTGGGGAGAAGCCACTGTTTGACAGGTGAGCCGAGGGAGAACAGTACAGGCGGATCACCTGCCCGTTCCCGCTGCAGGGGCTCCACCCAGGACGCGGGCTCCAGTGGGCAGAGGCCCGCTGGCACCCACAGAGCCTGGCAGCAGGATGCTGGGTGGCATGGCTCCCCCCATGTGCTCAGTGAGTGCCCCCCGCTACCCCCATGGGCTGACCATTGGGCACAGAGTCTCTGCAGAGGCCCCCTGGGCCTCCTTTCAGGGATGGGACCCTGGCCCACCCCCAGGCCCCTTCAGTGACGGGATGGCGCAGCAGCCCCACATGGTGTCAGGTGTCAGGGGTGGGGAGCCCATCTCCTCCACCTTCCCTGCGCCGGTGCCTGTCCGTCCTGACCCATCACTGGGCTTACCAGGTCCGGGGCTGCGCCTTGTGGATAGAGGCAACTTCACTTAGGAGCCCAAGTGTGACGGGGGGGGGGG